GTGACAGCAGTTCTGGCCCTGTTCCAGCAGGAGGGATTCTCTGTCCTTCCCACCCTCACTGGCAGCGGGCACCCCCCGTGCACCCACGTCCCCTGCACTCACTGGAGCCGGCCCATCGCTGGTCCCCCGGCCACCACGTCCGACACAAACACCGCCGTGTCCCCGGTCGTCCTGCTGGGATGGTCCCGCCCTCCGGAGACAGCGAAGCCAAAGCCCCGCTGAGGGTCCTGGCAGGGGTGGGTGGGCAGACAGGGGTCAGGCAGAGTCGACCCCACAGCCCCTGTCCCCTCCCATGGCTGCCCCAGGCCATGCTCACCTTGCTCAGCGTCACCGTGTGCTGCTCCCAGATCACCATCTCCTCCATGGTGGGCACCCACCAGCTGGGGAGGGGGACAGTGGCAGCCGCCTGGCAGGGGGGCTCGGACCAGCTCCACCTCCTCTTCGCAGCCCCTGGCCCCTTCCTCACTCCTGCATCGGGCTGCAACAAAGAGCAGCAGCAATGCTGGGCTGTGGGCACCGGGGACAGCAAGAGTGGAGGGGACAGAGCCCTGTGGTGCCCGGGCACCCACCAGGGCACCGAGACTGCTAATTGTGTCACACCCTGAACAATTAATTGTTCCCCAGGTGGCAACTGGCTCTGGAACCCAGAACTGCCTCTGTGCAGGGTGAAATCAACCCCCCGGGGGTCCATCTCCATCCCCTTGGACACATGTCCATGGAAGTGGAGGTTTTACACAGGGCAAGGTCAGGACCCATCTACATGGGACTTCCTGTCCATGCTATCCTTGTGGCCTCGCTCCCCACCCTCGTCCTGGACCTGGCAGACCCCAGGGTGCTGCTTTGGATGGTGTTTCAGTGCCTGCCCGCCCTCTCTGGGCTCCATCAGCTCTGCCAGCTGCTTTGGCAGCACCTCTGCCCCTGCTTCACCCTTTGGTTTTCCCCAAATCCAACATTTTCCAGCTGAGACAGACAAGCCTGACTGACAGGGTGACATCACCTCCAAGCTAAAACTCTTGAGATGGGCCTGGGGATCCTCTCCACCAGCTCCTGGCTCCCTGAAGGGAACATCAGCATGAACCCAGAGAGATGCAGGATCCCATGTGGGTGTGGGAGGTAGCAGGGCAAGAGCCTCCTGCCAATCCCCATGGGGTGGGACAGGGAGAGGCCAGTTTGATCAGGGACTCACAGAAGCATCAAGGCTAGAAGAGACCCTCAAGATCATAAAGTCCAACCATCAACCCAGCACCATCATAATCACCCCTAAACCATGTCCCCAGGCGCCTCTTGAACACTTCCAGGGGTGGTGACTCCAACACCTCCCTGGGCAACTTATTCCAAGGCCTGACCACTCTTCCAGTGCAAAAAAAAATTTCTAGTATCTAATTTGAACCTGCCCTGGTGCAACTTCAGGCCGTTTCCTCTGGTCCTGTCACTTGAGAAGTGGCAGAAGAGGCTGATCCCCACCTCACTACACCCTCCTTTCAGAGAGTCATAGAGAGCAGGGAGGTTCCCCCAAGTCTCATCTTCCCCAGACTGAACATCCCCAGTCCCCATGGCACACACTTGGCCTGTCGGGGTGGCTCTGGGGTGGCTGTGCCAGGGGCCCTGCTGGCTCCCAAAGTTGGCTCAGTCATCCTCGATCCCTAAGTTGGTACCACAGGCAGCTGGAAAACTCCACAGCTCCTTTGGGAATAGGCCATGGGACAGCTTTGGTGGGACCAGGAGGCATCAGATATGCCCTGTGGGCAGTGCCAGAGGTGATGCCAAGCAGGGATCCGGTGGTGGGCAGCCAGCCCTGGGCAAGCACCACAGCCCAGCCCCAGCACGAGGACTTCCCGTGGCAGCCCCCGGCTGGAGCGATGCTGGGACAGCCCCCAAAATGAGCCCCAGCTCAGCCCCTGAAACAAGACCCAGCTCCCTGCAGCCTCAGGGAGGGCTGGGGGGAGCCCGGTGTAATCATTCACCCGGGCAGGGCAGGTGTGGAGGGCAGAGTCCAGACCTCTCCTCTGCTTCCCCTCTGCGTCAGAGCTGCCAAAATCAGCCCAAGAGCCTCCCTGGCACGCGACAGTGCTCACTACGTGGAGGGGGACACGTGTGCCTGGGGGGGTGGCTGGGGCTGGGCAGGACCCCAGTGTGGTGGCACCCACAGTCCTGTACCAGCACTGGGAAGACTGGTCACAGACAGGAGTCCCCAGTGTGGCAGTGAGGTGGTTTCAGCCGTGTCACCAGAGTTGGCTGCTCTGTGTTTACAGGCTCCCAGGGCACCTGCAGGTGACATGGTGTGAGCCACAGGTCCAAGGGACCCCAGCCTGGGGCAGCCAGAGCATCCCCCTCCCCAGGGTGATGATATCTGCTGTGCCAGAGCCGCCTCTGCTGCCACCCAGCACAGTCTCACATTGTCCCCAACCAGCTCCCACTATTGTCCCTCACCAGGGCACCACAGTCTGGCCACGTGCCTGCGTCCCACTGCTGCCCGTGGCTCTCCGTGGGCAGTGGCTGGGGCAGCGTGGGGATGGCAGCAGCTCCCGTATCACCAGCTGGCACCAGCAGTGCCCACAGTGCCACCAAACCCCAGCCCTGTCCCCCGTCGCCCCCCCGGGGCTGGCGCAGGGCCCGTCCCAGCCAAAGGCCGAGGCTGGCAGCAGGAGGAGCCGGCTCAGCCGGTTTCCGACAGAAACCAGCCCGCACTTGGAATGGCCCCGCCGGGAGGGGCAGTATCTGGGCAGAGCTGACCATGGCCCGGCCCAGCCCCGGGCACCGACAGCACCGGGAGCCCCACACACCCCGCTCTGCCCCAAACGTGCACCGTGGCAGCGTCTTCCAAGGATTTTAAAACCAAAGGAAGCTGGGCTGTGCCAGGGTAGCTCGTTCCACTCACTGCCAGGTACCCAATTCAGGGCTGTGCCTGGCCCCGGGTGACACTGCCAGCAACACCCACCGTGGGGACAACAACGAATTGGGGGGGCATTTATCAGAAAGTGACACCCCAGCCGTGCCCCCTCCACCCATATTCTGTGTTCCAACCCCCCCATCCCGCTGATGGGGGTCCTCAAACTGGGACTCCAAAGCCTTCCCGGGATCAGCGGGGTCCCTGCTCTAAAGCAGTGCTGCAAAACCGCGAGACCCTTCTCTGGTCCTAGTCATGCAGCACCGGGGGCCCAGATCCCCCCAGAAGTTACTCTGTCCCGATCCCACCCAGACCGACCCCCTACTCTGGGAAAAGGTCTCTGGAAAAGCTAACCCGGACCGAGTGTAAACCAGTAGGAAAGAGGTACGTCCTCCAGCCCCGGGGCGTGGAGCTGTGATCCCCCGGGGTATCTCCCTGTTGTGGAGCAGAGTTCCAGGAGGGTCACCGGGTCCTGGAGCCACCCAGGGAGGGACAAAGAGTGGCCGGTTTCCCCACGTGAAAGCACGGCTGGGTCCCCTCCCCAGCCGGGAAGCACAGCCGGCAGATCCCCGGGGACAGAGTTAGGAACTCACCGAGCCTTCGATCCGACCAGGAAGGAGCTGAGCTCCCGGGCTGGTGGCAGAGGTGTCACTCCAGGGTGCCTTGCGTAACCCTTTGTGGTCCAGGCGCTGCCTGCAGGAGCGAAGGATAACGAAAGGGGTCCTAGGGCAGCTTCCCGGGCACAGCAGGACTCTCGGAGGGCTGTCCCTGGTGTCCTAAACCGTGCTGGTGGCTCAGGC